TGTGTGTAACTGCATGTAGTGCTATAGCTGAACTACTCTCTAGATTTCTTATCTTATTCGGGTCAACCAATCTAGATTTAGCTAGGTTTTTATGTTCGGCTAGTCTGACTGCCCCTGTTCTACTAGTTTGACCTATGTATTTGACCTCACAATCATTGCAGGGTATTAGATAAACTAAATTGTTTTGTTTTAATGGCTCTACAGGATCCTTTAACCGACAAAGCTTGTTTCTAATTGAGTTTGTGGGTTTGAATGCCACTTTTATTCCTGCCTTGTTAAGAATTCTGCGTAAGGCTTCCGAGGTTCCTTCTTTGTATGGAATTATTGTTGATGATTTACATTCCTTATTGTTGGTGTCGTTATTAATATTATTATTATTATTACTATTATTATTACCATTATTATTATTGTTATTATTATTATTGTTATCATTATTTATTTTATTTTTACATTTACTTACATATTTCTTGACTAATTTATCCGGGTAATTATTAAGTTTCAAGGCTTCTTTTATGTGTGTCACTTCCTGTCTTAGATTTTCCTTGGTACTACTTAGTTTTTGTGCTCTGTCATTTAAACATTTCACTAATCCTATTTTTACTGACATAGGATGGGATGATCGGAAATCCAAATATCTGTTTGAATGTGTGGGTTTTCTGTAAACACTAGTGTTTAGCTTCCCATCTTCTTTCCTTTTAACGTTGCAATCTAACATTGGAAGTTCCCCTTCCTGACTTTCCAATTCATAAGTGAATTGAATTGCCTCTACCTTCGAGTTGATGTGCTCGAAAAATCTATCTATATCTTGTGTTCTAAGTACAGTGAATGTGTCATCTACATACCTCCACCATACTTTTGGGGTGGGGGTGAACGTTTCAATCGCTATCTTTTCCCACCTATCCATGAATATATCTGCTACCACTGGGGATATTGGTGATCCCATGGCAACTCCCTCAGTTTGTTTGTATATTTTCCCTTGGAATTTAAATACTGTAGAAGTCAGGCAAAGCTGTACTCCCAGCATTATGTCCTCAATTGGCACTTTTGTCCTAAGTTCGAGTTCTTGGTCAGAAATGAGTTCGTTTCTGACCGCCTCTATAGCCATATTTATTGGTATACGTGTATATAAACTGACAATGTCAAAACTAACCATTTTTTCTTCATTATCTAATTTTAAATTATCTAATCTGTGTTTTAGTTCATAAGAATTAGTTAGTCTAGATTTCGAGTGGATTTTTAGGGGATTTAATACCATGGCTAAATATTTAGATAATTCATAGGTAGGTGAATTTGATTTATTAATTTCCTCATATGGTCCTGTTTGTATGTGAGTATTTACCTTGTCCAAATAGTCCGATTTGTCTAATACTACTGTTGCGTTCCCTTTGTCTGACTTTGTGATTACTATATCCTTGTTATTCTTGAGGTGTTTTAGGGCTTTTGTCTCTTGTTTTGTCAGGTTAGGTTTTCCACGTTTTTGTCGTTTTAATGTAAGTGCACATTGTGCACGTACTTCTTCAGCTGTTGTTTTGTCTATCCCACTTAGTGCTATTTCTATTTTAGGGATGACATCCTCAGGTTTTAGTTTGTCCACCGCTACATTGAAGTTTAGTCCCTTTTCTAATACACTTATTTCCATCGGACTTAATACAAAAAAGCCCTAAAACACCTCAAGAATAACAAGGATATAGTAATCACAAAGTCAGACAAAGGGAACGCAACAGTAGTATTAGACAAATCGGACTATTTGGACAAGGTAAATACTCACATACAAACAGGACCATATGAGGAAATTAATAAATCAAATTCACCTACCTATGAATTATCTAAATATTTAGCCATGGTATTAAATCCCCTAAAAATCCACTCGAAATCTAGACTAACTAATTCTTATGAACTAAAACACAGATTAGATAATTTAAAATTAGATAATGAAGAAAAAATGGTTAGTTTTGACATTGTCAGTTTATATACACGTATACCAATAAATATGGCTATAGAGGCGGTCAGAAACGAACTCATTTCTGACCAAGAACTCGAACTTAGGACAAAAGTGCCAATTGAGGACATAATGCTGGGAGTACAGCTTTGCCTGACTTCTACAGTATTTAAATTCCAAGGTAAAATATACAAACAAACTGAGGGAGTTGCCATGGGATCACCTATATCCCCAGTGGTAGCAGATATATTCATGGATAGGTGGGAAAAGATAGCGATTGAAACGTTCACCCCCACCCCAAAAGTATGGTGGAGGTATGTAGATGACACATTCACTGTACTTAGAACACAAGATATAGATAGATTTTTCGAGCACATCAACTCGAAGGTAGAGGCAATTCAATTCACTTATGAATTGGAAAGCCAGGAAGGGGAACTTCCAGTGTTAGATTGCAACGTTAAAAGGAAAGAAGATGGGAAGCTAAACACTAGTGTTTACAGAAAACCCACACATTCAAACAGATATTTGGATTTCCGATCATCCCATCCTATGTCAGTAAAAATAGGATTAGTGAAATGTTTAAATGACAGAGCACAAAAACTAAGTAGTACCAAGGAAAATCTAAGACAGGAAGTGACACACATAAAAGAAGCCTTGAAACTTAATAATTACCCGGATAAATTAGTCAAGAAATATGTAAGTAAATGTAAAAATAAAATAAATAATGATAACAATAATAATAATAACAATAATAATAATGGTAATAATAATAGTAATAATAATAATAATATTAATAACGACACCAACAATAAGGAATGTAAATCATCAACAATAATTCCATACAAAGAAGGAACCTCGGAAGCCTTACGCAGAATTCTTAACAAGGCAGGAATAAAAGTGGCATTCAAACCCACAAACTCAATTAGAAACAAGCTTTGTCGGTTAAAGGATCCTGTAGAGCCATTAAAACAAAACAATTTAGTTTATCTAATACCCTGCAATGATTGTGAGGTCAAATACATAGGTCGAACTAGTAGAACAGGGACAGTCAGACTAGCCGAACATAAAAACCTAGCTAAATCTAGATTGGTTGACCCGAATAAGTTAAGAAATACTGTCGTTATTTGATGGGAGTTAGAACTGATGGTCGTCTTGTAACCTGGAGGTATAGGAGTTCGATCCTCAGTAGGGTCATGGGTGATGCGTCCTGATGAAGAGTACCGTAGAAGGAAAACGAGGTGGCTATCCATCACTCCCTAGTTTTCGGTGGTTAGTCGGATATGATCATAAATATCGTAGCTAATAAACCGTTCAGCTTTCTTCCTACCTTTTTCTCATTTCAAAAGATCCGTGAGCTGTTGGCCAGTCCGTTCTGTTTTGCCTCTTTCGTTGCAAGTGCGCCTTGCTGTGGCACGAGTGCCAACAAGCACGAAACTCACATCCAAGGCTTCCTGCAATTGGATTCATGTTACCTAATAACATATCCAAATTGTGAAACACTCAAGATTCTATCCGTATTAGTCGTTGGCTTATGATTTCGTATTTCGTGTTAAACATTGCCTATCGAATATATTGCGTATGCTTGTTCGGAGATTGACATAAGATTTGGCATGAAACAACTTCATCGACATTTGCACGCATCGAGCCAGTAGGTATTCCTCATGATTTCTCGCTCAGTGTACCAGTGTGAGAGGTTTGTGTACACTATGTAGGGGAAACATTGCGTGCCTCCGAATGCATAGGATCAGGAGAAGATCTCTGCCAGCAAATTCTTAAATAGATCAAGTAATTTGTTGAAGTTGAGTTTTGTATCCCCAGTCGATTGATTATTATATTTGAGGCGAATCTCTCACTCCCCGTTCACATGTTGGCAGTTTCTAGCCGGGATGATTTGACGAAATCTGACGGTTAAAATAATGCTATTCGATTGATGGTGGTTGTCAACCATGGAATCGAAGATGCATCTCCTGTCCTACTATAGGCTGTCAAACTGGACGACTCTTCAACATTCGAAATGATGGCTGTCTGTTTAGCTCGAGGCTCAGTGGGAGCATCACCACTGACTGACTGACTCACCTGCTTATTCACTGATGGGTGGAAGTACATCCAGCTGATGAACCTGATATGTATCCACATATATATATTTATGTGTGTGTGTATGTTGGTCTCTCTTTCTGTTTGCTCGCTTAGTCTGTGACCATTTCACTTGTATGAACTTGTCTCCTTTAATAATGTGTATTCTCCTTATATTATATTATATATAATATGAGTGTTTGTTGACAGTCCGTTGCTTGGTGACATACATCCATACATGGTGATTGTTGACATGTCTGTTATATTTCGCTATGTATATGTGGATCGATACTTCATTATAATTAGCCATTCCTGTTAAGACTGTCTAATGATTGTTCATACCCTTGTCATATATATTTCGCTCACACAATTTGTGTGAACTACTTTACTTTACTTACTTACCACTTTGGTGTGAGACCATTTTATTTTCGTCTCCTTGTGTTTGGACAATAGAAGTATCATCGCAAATCTAATGGTCTTCTGATTTCCGCCTTCTCGCGTCAGGAGTATTAGTTTCTCGACCAGACCATAACAATAATTTAGCGACGAGTACATAACAGATCCTCAAACAGCATGGGGCCTACATTGTGGATTCCAGTGCTAACCACCACCACCACCAACAACAACAAAAGCAGTAAACAAGTGACTTAAAGAGTAGAGTGAAGTGATGTTGAAGTGGTGACCTAATAGGCTGACAATAATGTCCTTCTCTTATTTCACTTTCTTCCATAATTAAGCCAACGTGAAGAACAGTCAAGGTAAAGCAAAATTTCGTGTTGGAAATTCGAGATCAGAAAATATCCCACCAGCTCAAAGACAAACAGGACTTGGTAAGGAAGAAATCGATGGGGAGGAAAGTTCATTGGATCTATTAACCACACCAGAGAGACAACGCAACGTATCTGATTCCATACAGGAATATTTTTCTGAAGGGCTGTCTAAGTTAGACAGCATTCTTGAAAAATTCACTACAAACGAAACAGAATCTATGGTATTGCGCTCGCGTCTAAATTATACGAGCGCGCATAAATCACTCAAAGCTGCAAAAGATGACCTTCCCTATGATATTGATAAGGTCTTCTCCCAACTCGGTATGTCCACATGGATAAAGGAGTATAAAAGTGGCTCCCCCAACCATATGAAAGAAAATCTGCCGATGGGAATAGATGGGAGCAGTAGTACTTCCCTTCTAGCCCGTCAAACTGCATCATCATTAACACCAAATCCGTTTGATTCAGAGGAAAAAGAAAATTTGTTGAAAGAAGGGGCTACACTGATACATTCTGATATCAGCCGATTTCGGGTAAGTTATCAATGTGCTAGATGGATTCACGCCACTTGATCTTCCATAACGATTACACTTATGTTTCGCTGTATTACTATCTTTCCTCCTATACACACCGTTCATTACTATTTCTTTTGAACCTGTTTTCTCTACCTTTGTGTGCAGTATGGATTGTCGTGGGTTGAATAGGTGCAAAGTTCTTCGCTACAACCCAGTTCAACATGGTTCTCATTAGTAGATTATACATGTTTTAGTCTTTCGATGAGAGATAAAGGTCTCGTTAACCATGACTTTCCTTTTTCATGGGGAGAGATCCACAGCCACACAAAGCAGAAGCACAACACTGAGGAGCTTAGGTTTTAGTAGAGGACGCGAAATCTGCGTTCCCCCTTCACTCGTCCACACATCGATCTAGCGATAGTGTCACACCTCACAGCATTTACCAATTAACGTGTTCGAGTGATCACATTAACTTAGCTAGGGACTACTCATCAGCCTTCGTAGGTTAGGCCTTAGGATGCAAGTAAGCAGATGTCGACAACTGACATCAACCAGGAGTGCTTGTTGGTCAGATTGATTTTAGGTATTAGGCGTTAGCGGAAGCAGCGAATTGAGAATTCGACCAAGAGATGTATAACGGAGGTTGCACCACAATCATACAGCAGGATCGAACAGAGCCACAGTTCTGGAAGATGTCACAGTTAGGTCGAGTGAAGGGTTTCCACCTGTAAATTGTCATTGTAAAGCCCAATGAGAAGTTACCCGACGGTATGCATTTTCAGAAATCCTCTTCTCTAATTATCATGATGGGAATATTTTAGATTTTGCATCAACTTGTTGTATGTTGATGATAACCACCTACCCACCCACCTACCTAACTACCTTTGGTTTCATTCGATTACATTCCGAGTGGAAAACATAGCTTGAGGCTTAAAGCATTCTCAATCCCTCTGCCACTTACCGTCGACCATACAAGGATAGAATGTGCCATTAGGAATAATCAAGACGTACCTTCTGGTTGGTAAATGTTCACCCGTTAGACCGCTTTCTTTCCTACTCAACTGACTTATCTAGAAACATAGGAACATGTAAAACTTGCACCACTTCAATTTGTTACACTTCAGAAGGGGAAGTATAAACACGAGTTGATAAATCTTAGTGAAACTGCAATCAATGGGAGTATATGGAGGAGAGGGGATTTATTAGATGAAGCTTTGACAGGATTTTCAGAATGCGGATATAATATAAAGCGGTGGAAACATGTATGCTGTACTGGGAATGACTTTCAGTTACATAATGAGTGTAGCTTCCAGATACTGATTTTCAACTAGAAGTTTAATTCATTGTGATTTCATGATGTGAAGACTATATTTTACTCTAATAAGTAGAGTTTTATTCCCTGATAACTTTTCTCCTCACTCCCCGAGTTCAATAAAGTTCAGAAAGGTGCGCTTATTTTTTGGTAATTAAATGATGTAAGATGATCCTGCTTGACTGGACAGCAATGACACTTAGCCGACAGATAGACAGTGAATTGACAGAGCGTGTTGACTACCTGGTTCAACAACCTTGGTCTGACTGAACGTTCGCGCCTGCTGGATGCTAAATTCTCACTTCACTATAGTATTTTTTTTCAAAGAACACGGATTCAGCTGGTTGTTTAATTTTTCGATGCTTTGATACAACTGTCAGTGGCAGCGTGTAACTTCTGTTTTGCCCCGTAGATGATTTGTGCATATTTCACTGACTTTTCATACGGAAATGAGCAGTAAAGGGGTACTTCAGCGCATATCTAGTAGCTTTATTACTATATGACATACATACGTCAGTCAATGTATTCCCAAGCAATGTGGAAACAAGGGAATCCTGCAGTCAATCAAAGAACTGATAAATTACTGAGTTCTGGGGAGCAGAGTATTCAGTTTAAATTAAGCCTTGGACTTGAATCAAAACGCTTAGGAGGACATATTTCAATCATCAGAGTAAAATGACAATGCTTTGGATCCACCTGACACAGGACAAAGAACTAAGCTCACATAGAACAAACAACTACTGGGAGTTGATAGTTGAACGTACAATATAAGGAGTTTCCACAGTTTCCCCACACCCACGTTTCATACATACAAGTAATAAAGCAAAGTATGGATCAGGTAAGAGACTCGGTTTATTAAAGCATGGGATATTCGCAGAGGGGCGTACCCGTATTTATGTTCATTCATTACTTCGACTTACTAGTGTAAGATAAGACTCCAAGGTTTGAGCTTTGAAGTTTCAGTGGAGAGTGGTGGTGACGTTATTCTTCGTCTCCACGGTGTAATGTTGCTAGTTTCATACTAAACCTAAAGTAATTTTCCACTTTACCATGACCAATGGTTCTTCAGTAGCGATACATCCCCCTTTTCACTCTGTTCTGTGTGGCTGTCGTTCTACATTGTGTTTGAATGTTTTAGTATATCACATAGTCATGATTATTCACTTTTGTTCCAAGGCGAACATGGAGCGCCAGTCTCTTTTCTACAGTGTTCGATTTCCTGACCGCTCGTTTTACTCGCACTACAATGTTTTCTGCGTCTCATTCGGACGAACTGCGAGTTGATCGTTCCTTATCGGCGTTCCACTCAATGACGGCGTACGGTGTGATGTCAGTTAGATGTCGCCTCAGCGTTTGTCCGGTTGATCTTGACTTTCTAATGGGAATTTTTTGGGCAATGAGTTCTTGGCTGGATTCTTGTCAGATTTCCCTGTTCCTGAATAATGAGTTATTCAAAGGTAGCCTCTGATGGAAGTTTGCGGCTAGCCAGCTGTTGGGAATGCATTGTGGGGGTCAACATGTCTCTGGACTATGCAGAACCAGTGAGTTGACTGACATTCCTATGCCCACAATCCTATCTCTTATTCCCGTTCTCAGGATGGACTAATAAACTAGACTGGGGTTTTCGTCCCATGTTTGTTTAGCTGTTCGTAATATTCCCTTTTTATCTTCTTCAGCTAATGAATGTGAAGAAACCAAGTCAAGGATCAATTGATGAAGACCAATTAATGCCTTAATCATCAGATACACATAGCGTCGCATGTAGTAGTCAGCCCACGAAAACATCCTTCAAATTAGCATTTGACGACGGGCCCAATACTGCATTACTTCCTTTGTCACCTGAGAAGCCACATGATTTTATGGAATAAGATTCACTTAACAGTAAATCGTGTGAACACGGGCAGTAATTTTGCTCGAAATATTACCAATAACAAAACTTATCATTGTGTGTAAACTATTGAAATATAATTATACTTTATTTGAGTAAATCGTCAGTTAGTAGACTTCATGCAACACTAAACAAAAGTCTGCAGGAGAGTTATTCTACAATTTGTGAAAAACCATGGAAAATGAGAGAAACGTCTCTCAAGAATGCCTTGGTAGTGAGTATACTGATCAGAGAGCAAGTGAGAGTGGTGAAAATGCACCTTTATGACTGATCTCTTCACCTCAGCATCCTGTTTGGGATACTTCAGAGGACCTGATTACGTCATCATGTAACTTCTTCCGTTCTTAAATAGAACTCTTCTAAACGCTTTTGTACGATCACTTTATAACAACAAATGCAGCAATAAATCGTACATTTGATTTAAATTGTAGTTGATTTCCTTGTTCAAGTCAACACAGGAAATGGAGCTATGCGCTTAAAATGTAGTTTTCCAACCAGGTATGTGATATAACTGTTATTATCCTTTACGAAAAGTAGTTCATAGCGCGTTGTTGGCTCACTAGTAGAGTGGTTTCCGACCAGGTGGGAGGTCCAGGTTCGAATTCCGGGCTACGGATAATTATCCTGGAAATGATGGAAGAGTGTGTATGGAGCTAGTAACCTCCAGCCTGTAAGAACAATATCACCACTATGGTCTCTCAAACTTCAAAGCTTGGAGCCCTATGTTTCACACGGGATGAAAACAAACCGTACACTCGGATGTCTTCCCGTGATTTCAAATGTTTCATCAATACATTTCAAATCGTGGAATATACACATTTGATCATAGGGAATGATAAAAAGACGGTTTCAGCGAAGAGAATTTTGCGTTCGACGAAGTCATCAACCAGGCTGTACATTCGTGTATTTATAGTAAATGAGCGGGAAAGTTCCAGAACCCTTTCCGGTCAAAGTCGAATGAGTAAAATTGCAATCATGAATTAAAATGCCATAATAAACAGAGATGGAGGGGCGAGGCGGATAAAAATTAGACAAAGTAGCATCATGATTACTGAGAAGATTGACATATTGTGCAATTAGGGGTTAGAAATGTAGAAATAACAAAATAGACAGGATGTCTGGATGTGAAAATATGGTAGTGTAAATAGGGATTAGAAGAACTTAGAAGTAACGTGAATGAACAGGAAGTTTGGATAAGAAAGGTAATGAGATAGCCACTATTGAAAGAATTACCTATTTTTATTATGGCGACAGCAGGGACAAGGGATGGACGTATTTCGTTTGGGTAGATAATGTGGGTTTGAGTTTTTGGATGGCTAGTGCCTCGGTTATGCCAAGATATCTTTATTCTACTCCCTTTGATAAATTTGATTGAATCTTATATATGGTTTTGAGTGATTTTTCGAAAGGCGCTGAATGTTTTGAGTTGACCAGATGTTCACTCTCGTTTTACTAACCAGGCTGGACAGTGTTCACAAGCGCATTTTTCAAGTTGGCGCACGATATGGCCGATTTACACAGCTCCATGAGAGCAAGTAAATTGGTATATGCACGTTGAAGTGGCCCAATGCGACCGTTTGTCTTTCGCGTTCTGACTGAACGGTTTCTTGCAGGAAGACGTCAGTCGTAGACTTCCGACGAAGTGTGTTTGCCTCAGAGATTTGCAAAGACGTTTTTGAAGGATTTCTGCTTCAGTGTTACCTTTGGATTGCAGATTAAGCAGAAGCGTCTTCTTCGGGACAGAAAGCACTTGTTCAGAAGTCTTCTCTAGTTTTAGATTCTTGTCTATGAAGCTAGATGGAAAACAGTTCTCCATCAGAGTTCTTCGGAGAATACGCAGGTCTTTATGAATCACTCCCCTGCTGCATATCTCCCTCTTTCTGCTCAGTGGTACGAAGCTGTGGAAATTGATGAATTGTCCATTGCATGTAGGCTTTTTGCATGTGGAACTTTGAAGAGCGTTGTCAGCGTTTCTTCTAAGATGGACGTTGAGGAAGTGGAACATTCCATTGGATTCAGCTTAATATAATAATAATAACAGCTTTATTGCAAACAGTATTTGTGGTACAGGTATGGAATTTTCAGCTTGCATTACAATATATTTCATCTAATTACCTCATAAATTTTATAAGATTTTTAAAATCAAAAAAAGCCAACGTCAAAAAATAAAAGATAAATTAAAAAAAAACAGCGTAGCGTTTACATTTCAAACAATGCACCACAGGATATGAAGTATAAAATTGGTGTGTAATAGAAGATAAGAACTACAGTGTAATAGTAACGAGGAAAGGAAAACAAAAACTAATGGGGCTATTTGTTATAGTGCCGCAGTAAATTTATCGTGTCATACCTAACGGATTTCTCATCACATAACACCTGTGCCAGATATGGTATTGTGGAATTTTTGTATTTGGTAGTCCTAGCATATAGCCTCTTATAGCTGCTTCTAGTTCTAGGTCTACCAGATGAGATGCAAGGAGAGAGCTGCGTATAGAGAGGATTCTCGGGGTCTGACAATATTGTATTCGCTAGTTTCTTACATGACATAATATGTCTATCCACAATAGTGTTAACCAGTTGGTTTAAGGATATCCCACTTGCCCTACTAACGGCTTTCAGTGCCTGCCCTTCTCAGCAAAGCAAAGTCTTTCTTAAGTAGTCCAGGAAAGATTAATGGGGAGCAGTAAAGGGGGATGGGTAGAATACAAGAATTGACAAACTGAGAAAGCAAAGACTGGTTTATGCCAGACTGCCTAAATTTCCTAATGTAGAACGTTAAGCGAAACATCTTTCTAGTAACTATCAAGATGTGGGACGACCAGGAAAGATCGGTGGAAAAACTCAGCACAAGGTACTTGACATCAGATGTATTTTCAACCTCTACGCCGTCAATGATTTTGGGGCCATGTGAGCTAACTGGTTGTTGTAGGTCGCGTTTACATCTGAAAGTGAAATTGACTACTTGACATTTAGACGGATTTAGCTTACGACCGTTCGAAGAGGACCACTGACTAATTTCCGACAGAAAGTTATTTAATTTGAAACAATCTGACTGAGAGTTGACAGGCATAGAAACAGAGAGGTCATCAGCATACTTAACAAAAGTGGCTACATCAGAATGAGGCAAGTCATGTAAGCAAAAAGAGGACTGAGAAGGAGAAAGAACAGCACCTTGAAGAACACCTGCTAAAGTAAGTGAGGTAGTGGAGGATTTTCCATTGTAGACGGTGTACTGCTTCCTATCAGGAAAATAGGAATGCAGCCACTTATTTGTCCAGCTCTCAGCCTGTGTTGTAGCAAGCTTACTTTGCGAGAGACACCTAGGAACAGAGTCAAATGCAGATGTGTAATCAAGGAAGGCACAGCGAACGTATTTAGCTACTTTAGCTTCAAGAGTAAAGTCAGTGTTTTGGTGGGCATTGTTGGAGGTTTGTAGTAATTTTTCAAGGTGCAGATTCTCATCACAAATGATGAAAGTATCATCACTGTATCTCCTGTAAAGATGGAGGTCAGTGATAGTCGATGACAAGAAGTTGTTTTCGAAAGTACACTTAAACCAAGAATCGCTCTCCAATATATTTTTAACTAATTTTCAAGAGCTATCTATGTTCAACATGTATAGAGGTCGAATGAAATGTAGGAATATCCTCGCCTTTGTCAATCCACTTATTCTTGTACATTTCTCTTCGATGAATACAGATCTAAAGTAATATTGATTTACATTTGAAACAGATTGAGTGATACTATAATACTACTGACATCATACACGAATACTCCTTAAGGGATTAGAATGAAGCAATAACAAGAAGATGTGTGGATCCAGGTAAGACAGATCGATTGCTTATTTCGTCAGTGTATCTCTCGTCAACTACACAACAACCTGAATAATGAAAGTCAATGGTTTTATTATTATCATTATTATTATTGCAAGTTTAACATAGCCCTTTTAATACATTGGAGATAAGACGTCGAATAACATTTAAGAGTGATAATCATATGTACAAGTTAGTGCAGTCCAAAGATGACAGATACACTTCCCATGTGTCAGCCTCAACTGTGCATGTCAATTTATGTGTAGCTGGTGAAGCAGATGCACGGGAAGAATAGAAACAATGGTCTATCTTACATTATGTGAACACATGCGGACATGTCTGCAGTCACGAGACATCTAATTTATATAGAATACGAGGTAGACAATCCTCATTACCTTAAAAATAATAAACAGACCAACTAGTTCAAGCCTACTGAAGATCACATAGGCCATGGCTACAGAACAGTGTCTTGATATTGCATCAGTAGTTCCCTTGTTACATATATATATGTACATGTATTACATAACATGGCCAAAAATTTCATGAGTCAACCATAGTGTCCACAACTAGCTAAATGTAGGTCACAACAGTATACAGTTTAATGACTTGTATCTATAAGATATTCCAGTCTTCAGAAACACAAGCAGGTCGAATTGCGCAAATACTACAAATTAGTTTGTTATCGTTTCATAGCAATCGTCCCACTAATTTCAACTTGCTACAGCAAACACACTTGAACTGGTAAATGCAGTTGGAGTTGACGTCAGCGGGATTTCCGTCTACTTGGCACTCTTCTAATGAGTATGTATTTGGTGTGATCAATGTGAATCAGTATAGAAGTGATACAAGTACAATTCACTTTTCGATTTCTCTTGATACTTCTTCTCATTTATACAAGAGATAGAGACAAACTAGTTCCTTTCTTTTCAACCGTTGCTGGATTCAGGTTACACGTTTCTCCTCTTTCGTTACGAGTCTCATCATCAATTACTTTGGATGCCTGATCTGCATGAGATGCTTTTCAAACAACCACCAG